AAGCATGGATGCTGCCCTCTTGTGGACAAGATAAATTCGGTGGATTTCACTGCAATACCAATTCTGTAGATTACAAGGCCTCCTTTTTTGAACTCGCAGTATTTGTGGAGAAATTCAATGAGAAGTAGTTGCACACATGAATTGTCTAGGGTGATCCCAGCCACAGACTCTTGGCTGGAAAGGAATGGATCTGTCAATTTTGGTTCTCTCAGTTTCATTTTTTTTTTTTCAAATCTTCGCCACCATCTCCACAGCAATTTGTAGGTTTTTTTAAAAATTCTCATAAAAAACTGCCTGCATTTTAGAGTGAAATTTTCCTCACTTACACATCTTTGTATGCCATGTTCCATAACAAAATGTATTTTGTATGTGATTTTGTCCAATATGTGCACTTTATGCACAATTTTCTCTGGCGTACAAAAACATACACATACATTCCGTGTCTGGAGCACTTCACTGTAAAATTTGGAGAAGTGCCAGTTTCAAAAGATGGTTGCATTTCTAATCACATATTGTTTTGAAAAGTATGAATTTGGTAGGTTTGCATTTAAGTGTGAATGGAATGAAACACTTCCATCCCTCCTCCTGCCTTCATAAAATTGGTGCCTCCAGTTGCTTCTTCCCATCAACAACTCTCCCTATTCTTGCAGAGAGCTGCCAGCAATTTGAATTAAGCCAAACGTCATGGAGGAGGCTAGATGATTCCCCATCTAGGAGCTACTGAAATGAGGACACACTTTCAAACACCAACTCCCCATTCCAGCACAGTACAGGACTGTACCGCATGTCTACTTTAACATTTGAAAAGACTTAGACTGGAGACGTGATCCCCCCCCCAAAAAAAAAACACACACACACAAATATAACATTCGCATTTTGCATGAAAACACCCCAAAGTTTCCTTTAAAATGTTCTCTGGTTGAATATGAGACCATAAAGCATCATGACTGTTCCAATGGCAGATGATTCCTTTTATTGGACTCCAGATCCCATCATCCCCAGCCAGCATGGACAGTGGTCAGGGATGATGGAAGTTGTGGTCCTCCAGGTGTTTCCCCATCTCTTGGTCTAGATGGCCATGTTGAAATCCCCACCTAGTTCCCCCACCACCACTTCTTCAGAGGAAAACATAAGAATAGCCAAGTCCAATGCTATAAATGCAACCATTCCCCTTACCAGGAAGGGAAAAAAACCAGCAATAGGTAGAACTTTCCATAAATATTAGTTTTAATGGGCTCTTTCAAAACACAAAGCCTGCAAATGAAGGGGAAAAAACTTCCAGTGTTTCCAAGTCCAAATTATTTCAGAATAAGGTTTGACATGCCACAGGTGCACAGAAGATTTTTTTTCTATTGAACAGTGCAATACTATGTCTACCCAGTCAGTATAACCAGATGCCTTCATCTGCCCCGCTGCAACAAAGCATGTCTCTCCCCTATTAGTCTCTACAGCCACAGCAGGTGCAGCAACCTTCCAACAGTTTGACTTCACCCCCAAAGGCACTCTCTTCCACTGTCTCCCAAGACAGACAGATGCCAACCCAGAGGTGAGCCCTATTGAGTTCAAAAAGTCTTTCCTGAAGGTGTGTGTGTTAGTTTAAAGCTTGGGAGCAAGTCCCACTGAACTGAGTAAACATGCACAACAGTTTGTGCCCTTTGTAAGTGTGAGTACAACTAGAGATGGCAGAGGAAATCCATGAGTACAATCACTTCCTGTTTGTTTTAAGAAGTTAATAGCAACTTCTAAGGAAGTTGTGGCATCTGGAACTGTGGCAGTCAGAAGGAGAATGATCTCCCCACCACCAATTTCCTAAATTACAATTCGGGGTGGCGGTGGCAATATTTATTCAGGAAAATGAGGAGGAGCACCGGCACCATGGTACTAATCCAATTCTAGGGCTCCAAATTTTGTTTTTTCTTCTTCTTAAACAATAGGTATTTGTAATCCCAGATCTCAATAGACATGTCTAGATTGACACTGTGCAAGGCACTTCACAAGTCGGCCAGAGACAGCCACATTCTTAACCTCCCCAACTTCCACCAGTGAATGAAAGGTCAAGTGTATCTAAGCTTCACAAGGATGTTTTGAGTGGTTTGTAAGGCTCAATCAATCAATGGGACCTAGCCCAAGCCTATATTCCATTTCCTTGTTCCTCAAATAATCTGGGAGGGTGCTCCACAGTTGCAAAAAGAGTACATAGGGACATCGGGCCAAAGTTCATGTTAGGCAGGAGATCTGTGGCAGAATTCCTTCCCCCCAATCAATAAATCAATGTATGTTGTTTGTCTTTTCAGTTTAAAGCAAGTGCCCAAAGCCAAATTTTACTGGAGTTGCAGTAATTAAGTGTGGGTGTTCAAAACTCCCCCATCCTTGTAAACAGCTTAGAAACTATTGTAGTTAAGTGGTATATACTGTAAATTGTTTAAATAAAAGCAAGTGAAAAATAAATCTACCAACAACCCTTTATGGGGGAAGGAATACATATCATGGAACACCTGAAGAATGTATAATTTGGCCCAAAGGCTAAAGCTTCTTTGAGAACTCATTTTATCTACCAATTTAAGGATAATGTACAGCTACATCCCCTGTAATTAATTAATTAATTAATTAATTAATTAATTGCAGACAAGGGGATGCAGAAATTATCCTGCTACTTACTGCTAGTTCAAGGAAAAGGAAGAAGCTACCCATAAAACTGAAGCCCTGCTCTCATGGAAATCTTACTCAACCACCTGCTCTAACCTTGCAAGATTTCACCAGATATTCTAAGCATATGTTGGCAGCGGCCATGGGGGCTAGAAACTTGCATTTAAAATATAAAATTGTGGGTGAAGGGTACAACATCTGCTTTGCATGCAGAAGGCCCCAGGTTAATACTAATACTAATAATTATTATTATTATTATTACTATTATTATTTTATTGTTTATACCCCGCCCATCTGGTTGGGTTTCCTCAGCCACTCTGGGCAGCTTCCAGCAAAAGATAAGAAATAATAAAATGTAAGACATTAAAAACTTCCCTGAACAGGACTGCCTTCAGATGTTTTCTAAAAGTTGTGTAATTCTTTATCTCTTTGACATCTGAAGGGAGGGCGTTCTACAGGGCGGGCACCACTGCCGAGAAGGCCCTCTGCCTGGTTCCCTGTAACCTTACTTCTCACAGGGAGGGAACCGCCAGAAGGCCCTCGGCGCTGGACCTCAGCGTCCAGGCAGAATGATGGGGGTGGAGACACTCCTTCAGGTATCCTGGGCCAAGGCTGTTGAGGGCTTTAAGGTCAGCACCAACACTTTGAATTGTGCTTGGAAACGTACTGGGAGCCAGTGAAGATCCTTTAGGATTATTATTATTATTATTAGTTATTGAATTTATATACCGCCCTATAGTCCCAGAGCAGTTCACAGAAGAAAAGCAAAATATAAAACCACAAAATACATAATCAAAGTAAAAACAACAACCCAATAACCGCACTGCCCCCCCCAAAAAAAACACATTTTAAAAGGGCACAGGATGTCAATCAAATCAACCAAAGGCCTGGTTAAATGGTCTCAGCGACTACTCCCAACCACCAATCTAGCTGCCGCATTTTGGATTAGTTCAATTCCCAGCATCTCCAGGTTGGGCTGCCAGTCAGTGCAGACAATTCTGAGCTAGACAGGCAAATGGGCAGTTTCCTATGTTCCTGAGAGTCCCCAACACTCATAGGAAGCAGAGTTCTCTGCTCAGTATCACACATTCAACCCCTTCCTCCTACACATGCAGAATCTACCCAGCCCTGACCAAGGTGCTCCACTTTCAGGCCTGAGTTTCAGGGGCTTGTAAAAACCTGAGTCAAAGGAGTGGTGGACATTACAAGCCCCTAAGTTCTCCTCTGGCTTGGATTTAATCCACACAGCAGAATTCCCAGCCTATAGCCTGGCCAATACTTTCCCAAAGGCCAATGGGTTTTTTCTACTCCCTGTGATCATAATGGGCTTGGGTTGAGCATAGTTTTAACTACGGAAAGGCAACATACCAATAAAACGATGCTGGAGAACAGGGGAAGAAGAAAGATGGAGAGGATCAGATTTCCTCTTACAGTGCCTCATTTGTTCTGGAGCATCACTGCAGCAAACCCAGACAGTGTAGAAGGGGATGGAGGTTTAGGGGGCTGACCAAGTGACATGACATTATCTCCAAATCAAAAAAACTGATGACTCAGCACATTTCAGAATCAACCCGAGTTTGGGATGAGCTCACTCATCTCCCAGGCATCTGGTTGGCTACTCGGAGAACAGGAGGCTGGACAAGATGGGTCTATGGTCCAATCCAAGGGTTCTCCCTAGGTTTTGATCTCTACTACTCGCTTGTCAGCATGGTCTTGTTGGCCTGCCAGCCTCAAACCTTACTCTCCCAGGTCTCTCCTGCACAGATTACCTGCTTCTTTAACATGCCAATAACTTCAGCTTGAGTCTCAAGGAGAATGTCCTGTGTCACCAAGTGACAGTTCCTTAAAGCAGCAAGTACCCTTGATCTTAGAATATATCAAGGGAAGTAATAGTGCCACTGTATTCTGCTCTGGTCAGACCTCACCTGGAGTACTGTGTCCAGTTCTGGGCACCACAGTTCAAGGAGGACACTGACAAACTGGAACGTGTCCAGAGGAGGCAACCAAAATGGTCAAAGGCCTGGAAACAATGCCTTATGAGGAACGGCTAAGGGAGCTGGGCATGTTTAGCCTGGAGAAGAGGAGGTTAAGGGGTGATATGATAGCCATGTTCAAATATATAAAAGGATGTCACATAGAGGAGGGAGAAAGGTTGTTTTCTGCTGCTCCAGAGAAGCGGACACGGAGCAATGGATCCAAACTACAAGAAAGAAGATTCCACCTAAACATTAGGAAGAACTTCCTGACAGTAAGAGCTGTTTGACAGTGGAATTTGCTGCCAAGGAGTGTGGTGGAGTCTCCTTCTTTGGAGGTCTTTAAGCAGAGGCTCGACCACCATATGTCAGGAGTGCTCTGATGGTGTTTCCTGCTTGGCAGGGGGTTGGACTTGATGGCCCTTGTGGTCTATTCCAACTCTATGATTCTATAATATCTGTTGGCATCGCAACTGTGGCTGTTTCACAGCTGAATTCAGGAGAACCAAGGAGGAGATGCAGACTCAAGGCAGAGGGACAACTACTTGAAAGTCAGATGAACAAGAAGCTGTGGACAGAAGGGCAGGAGCAAGTGTGCAGCTGGCGAACTCGCTTCCAGGTCCCTCTGCATCTTGGGTTTCCTACGGCCTGCCAGTGCAGTAGCTGATTCCTGGAATAGAAAAAGCAGAACCAAGCGTTGATACAATGCATTCAACTTCCTCCAAAAGAAGCATCAAAAACACACACACACACAAGTCATGCAGCTTCAGGTGACCACATAAAAAGAGTTGAATCAATCTTGGCTTTTGCTTGTACTTCAAAAGCATTTCTCAATCCACACTCACAGACTAAAGGCCCTTGAGAATGGCAGGGACACCCGGTAATTCTGAATCACCGAAGACACAGCAAACACCTTCCGGATGCTGGAGGTTCAAACAGAGATAACTGTGCAGTGCTGAAGTGCAATGAAGTGCATTGTACACTTGAGCTTCAATCTCTCAACCTGCAGGTCCGAAGTGGTTTTTATCACTTAGATGTTGCTTGAAAGGGACACCGTGCAGTTTCCTAAATTTGTCACAAGTAGCAGGCATCGCTCAGTGTTGGTGTATAGGCTTGTGGGCATTATATCCCATGTTCTCTATCCAAAGCATTTTCAGATAAAAAGCATCTCAGGTAGCAAGACCAGAAATGCCCTCAGAGCAAACATTACTGGGAGAGATGAACCAATGGGGGCTCCAGAGGCACGGATGCAAACAACTGCATGTTTATTTTGCATGGGAGAGTAAGTTTCGTATCAGCACCTTTAGATCCTAATGTATCCTCAATTCCTTAATATCCAGTACCAGAGCCATGCAATAAGGTAGTGGAGCTCTGCTTTTTTCACAAAGCACAGGCACCCAGAAAGGCGCCAAAGTACAGACAACTGTAAATTTTCTTTCGTTTTCTGAATGTGTTTCCCCACCCCCTCATTAACTGAAGAGTGGTTGGTGAGGGAAGAACCGAAGGAGAAATTTTCAGTACAGCACTAAATGCACTAACTTAGGTCCATTAGTTTTATTATTATTTTTAAAGGGTTTGCTTTACTGAGTATTTTCTTTATGCTGCCTTTTTAAATCATTCTGTATTTTAACAATTATGCGTGGTCAGTTTTTATATTCTGTATTAAGTAGTATATAAATTAATGAATAATAACCAAAATAAATAAATACTCATCTCTTAAGAATATTGGGAAGGGGCTGTGAGGTTACGTCTCAAACCCCTGCACCCACACTTCCAAAATCTCCCCCGTTCCTCCATTTTTGAGGCAGATTTCCTTTTTTGAAACTAGACCTCCACCCACTAGTAAATGGTCAAAGAAAAGAAATGGGTGGAATCAGGGCAGAATTAAGTGTCAGGAAGTCCTACACACGAGTAAGAATCCGGCAGAGACACATGCCCGGCTGGCATGTTCTCTCCTTCCTGGTCGGTCGTTCAGGAGATTCAAAAGCTTCCTCCAGCCCGAACATCACAGCGACTGATACCATGAGTCATCAGCACACTTCAGCATCAGCAGAGTATAGGCAGTTAGCGTACAGACTCAGTAGCACAGCTTTTGGCTATACTACATTTATTTACATATACACACTCGGAGCATCACAACTCAACTCCTTCCTTTTCAGCATCAGACAGCAAAGAGAAAGGACAAAAGGACAAAAATCCTACATCACGGAAACACAGTAATAGAAACATCCTGTCTCCGTCACTTCCCACAACGTGGAATGAAAACATACACCGTCATGTGATAAAAACAATCCCATGACTGCAACACGGTGGAAAGAATCCTAACATTAAGTAGGGTGTGCACAAGTAGAACAAGGTCTGCTCGTGCACAACTCAGCTTAATCCTGCCCACAGCTTTACAACGGACATTGTGAAGGCCAATTTGAAGTGGCTACCACTGAGCAATCATGTTTAATCACTTGCATATTTGACTTTGCTGATGGACAGATTATACTACTTGCCCCTCCATGTAAACAAGGTTATACTTGGAAAAGCAGTCCTTACATGCTTCCCCATCTGCATGTACATAAATGTCCATAACAAAACCACATTCCACAGTGAACACATCTTACTGCAAACTATAAGGAACAGCTAATCCTTGCAGGCTTGCAGGAAGCACTGGTTTTTCCAGGAATTCCCAGTGCATGCTCTCTGCAAATGTCAACTGTACTTACTAAGGTCTGAACTTTCCAGTACCATTTCTTAAATGCTACATAAAAAATAAATAAATCACTACATCATTTTAAAGGCTGGTCGTTTTAGGCTTTAATGTACTTGTTGGGGGAAGGTGCAGCCACCAAGATTATAGCACCGTGTAAGGTATCTGCAGCTCTCAGAATCTACTTTTTAACTGACCTGGGTACTGTATGGGTTCATAATGGCATAATTTTGAACTATCTCCAGTTATACCAAGGCAGAATATTCTGTCACTGCACAGAAACTGCTTTTAGGCAAAAATCCCAACCACACACCATTTCCGCTTTAATTTTTCCAAATGACACATTCCATAGACACTGAGCACCTTAAGGGGGCTTTTCTTGGGTGGGTGTGGGTAGGTGTCCCTTGGGGTTCTTTTTGTTTGTTTTTAAAATGTATGTTTGCAAAACTCAAAGTTCCACCAAACATGCCAGTTTATCTCGCACTTGTTTCTCAGTGGGCCCATTTTGGCTCCAAGCCCATTGGCCCTCAACACCCAAGTTTTCTGTTAGAGGGCTATATTACCCCTTCATTGTACCCTTGGAAATGATGAATAGTCTCCCGGCTGCAGGCTCTCTTTCCCACTCATTCTAGAGGCTGCTCCCCAGCTGCTCTCCATTCTCAAATGATTGAGACTGGCAGATCATCGTGCCATCACGTCCCCCAGCTGATTTGGCCAGCCCTTCACAGCCTATTTCTGGAAGAAAGAAGGAGGGGAGGAATATCGATGCACCGACCCAGTTGCACGAGACGTGACCTTGCGAGACATTCTGAACGTGGCTCAGCTAATTCAACAAAATGCTTTGAACCGTACACACGCGAGCCTGAAATTGGATCAATCCATTAAGCCAGCTTCATAACGGGTGAAGCACTTCCTAGGAGATTTAGAAAGAGGTGTCATTCTCAGCCCAACTACTCTTTTCTTACTTTCAAAGCAGAAATTAGTTCACGATGGGGTCATCCTCACTAGCTGTGGTCTCTGTTGCTTTCCCCACCAAGGGAAACCACTTTTTAGCACTCTATCCAAGCAAACAGCAATTCGGGTATTCTCTGGATTGACGTTTGCTCTGATTCAACACTGAAGAGCAGGTTTTCCCTAGAAAAGGAAGGAAAACCACTCTGACCTGTACCTGGAAAGCATGATTCAAGTGGAAGTGGGGACGAGCCCCAAGTCTTAAAAGAAGGAGGGGGGAATGAACCAAGATTTGCTTGTTCTGCAGGGAAAGATAACTTGCCTAAGAAAGTGATGGAAATGCTTTTCAGTTTTAATGAGCAAGGCTGAAGGGGGGGGCACCATGCACAATAGGAGGACACAGCTGAAAATGGAAGTGGCAACAAACACAAAGCAATTAAAAGGAACAAGGCAATTCTGAAAGCTGGGACCACCCTTCAGTGTGTGGATGGTTGAAGGGGCTGAAAAAATCACATTGGTTAAAAGGATTCAGGTTTTCATTGCTGAAACGTAATGTCTGGGCTGGATCGGGTGTGGTCACCCCTCCCTCCCTGCTCCCAAAGATTGAATTATCAAAGCTCGATACATGTTAAGGATCCTTTCCATTACCGATTCCTCTTCACTTGGCCCTCTCCTCACCGTGGCATGCGAGTGCTGGGACAAAGTTTGAGAACCAAACATTTCCCCCCAGCAGTTATTTGCTCTTAGCTTCAGAGCAGCCCTGATGGACTGGACCAAAGGTCCATCTATAACACAACTACCCTCCCCCCCCCCCACTGCATCCCGTTTCCCACAGGGGCCTCTGGGGATGCCAAAAGCAGGGCGCGCCTTGCTCTTCCTTCATGGCAGCTGGAATTCAGTGGCATTTTCTCTCTGAACCTGGAAATTCCACGTGAGCCCTTCTGTGAGCAGAAAAGGCAGCCCGTCTGGATCAGACCGAAGGCCTGTCTAGTCCAGCATTCTGTTCTCACAGTGGCCAAACAGATACCCATGGCAAACCTGACATGCACCAGGTCTCTCTGACTCACAGTCTCCAGCTATGGCTTCATCTGGTTTGCCTGTGATGACTGTTTCAGGACAGGGATAGGCTACTGACTGTAAGCCTACATGTTGGTACCACTGAGGCTAGATTACTGCAATATGCTCTATGTGGGTCTGCCTTCAAGCCTGGCCCAGAAGCTCTACCTGATGCAGAATGTGGCAGCCAGACTGCTGTTAAAACATCTGCACTGGCCAGGTTCAAGGTCTTTGCATTAATTTAATTGCATTAATTGATTTGTCTTTATTCCTGTATGTCACTGAATTGTATAAGGTAAAGGGACCCCTGACAATTAGGTCCAGTCGTGGCCAACTCTGGGGTTGCGGTGCTCATCTCGCTTTATTGGCCGAGGGAGCCGGCGTACAGCTTCCGGGTCATGTGGCCAGCATGATTAAGCCATTTCTGGCGAACCAGAGCAGCGCACGGAAACGCCATTTACCTTCCCACCGGAGTGGTACCTATTTATCTACTTGCACTTTGACGTGCTTTCGAACTGCTAGGTTGGCAGGAGCTGGGACCGAGCAACGGGAGCTCACCCTGTCACAAGGATTCGAACCGTCGACCTTCTGATCGGCAAGTCCTAGGCTCTGTGGTTTAACCCACAGCGCCACCCACGTCCCTTCACTGAATTGTATGCTCCTGATCAAATAAACAAAAAGATAAGATTTTTAAAAGTAGTTTTTGTATAAATAAATATTGCTTCTGACACCAGAAGTAATATAACCATTGTGACAAACAGCCTAATCCCCCATGGGCACATGGTTCAGGAGCGGCCGTCTGCAGATTAGAGCCTTCACTACTCATGGAGGCTTCCAGGAAAGGCAGAACCCTGGTTTTCCAGAATTCGACATCAGGCAAGTACCGTATTTTTCGCTCTATAACACGCACCTGACCATAACACGCACATCGTTTTTAGAGGAGAAAAACAAGGGGAAAAATTCTGAATGAAACAGTGGATGTATCATTTTTGTGCTTCATGCTGTGGCCACAGACATGTGATCTGATGGTGAATTTGGGGTAGCTCAATGCAAAGATCCTGAGGATCCATGTGGATCCATGCTTTTTAACCACATTTTTGCACCATTGCAGCCCCAGGCAACAGTGGGTGTGTGATTTTTGGGGGGCAGGCTGCTATGTGATCTGATGGTGAATTTGGGGTGGCCCAATGCAAAGATCCTGAGGATCCATGTGGATCCATGCTTTTTAACCACATTTTTGCACCATTGCAGCCCCAGGCAACAGTGGGTGTGTGATTTTGGGGGGGCAGGCTGCTATGTGATCTGATGGTGAATTTGGGGTGACCCAATGCAAAGATCCTGAGGATCCATGTGGATCCATGCTTTGTAACTACATTTTAAGTGGGGAGTGAAGGAAAAACACAGAAGGGACAAGAGAGCGGTGTGCAGAGAAGCAGCTGGCTAAGAAAGCAGGAGAGGGATTTAACGGGAGGGAGGAAAAAAGGCAAAAGTTTCCACAAACCGAAGCCAGCTTTCTCTCTCCTCCTGCATGTTTTCTGGCTGCCTGCGAGGAGCACGGAGAGGAATTAGAAGGAAAGACCTCTGCTTTCCCCTCTGCTTGCCTGGAGGGGAGGGGATTTGCCTGCTCTTTGTTCCGTTTGAGCAAACACAGCAATGAAACAGAGGAGGGTGGGCAGTAAGACCCTGAGGCAGAATGCAGGAAAGCAACCACTTCCTCTTTTCAGGTTTCCCTCTCCGACACAACGCGCTTTGATTTTTGCTGATTTTTGTTCCTGCGCTCCCCTAATCGGCTCCAGGGACCCCCCCCACATTCGCTCTATAACACGCACAGACATTTCCCCTTCCTTTTTAGGAGAAAAAATCTGCGTGTAATAGAGAGAAAAATACGGTAACCTACATGGGTCAAACAGGCCCTCTGCTGCAGACATTTGCTCTCTAATTCATGGAAGTGGGGGCTGAGCTAACACACTCATTCCTACTCTCTCCCCCTTGTGCCTCCATTGACTGAGTTCATAAGATGAATGCCTGAAGAGGACTAGAGTCATCCCATATAGTAAAGGTAAAGGTACCCCTGCCCGTACGGGCTAGTCTTGCCAGACTCTAGGGTTGTGCGCCCATCTCACTCTATAGGCCGTGGGCCAGCGCTGTCCGGAGACACTTCCGGGTCACGTGGCCAGCGTGACATCGCTGCTCTGGCGAGCCAGAGCCGCACACGGAAACGCCGTTTACCTTCCCGCTTGTAAGCGGTCCCTATTTATCTACTTGCACCCGGGAGTGCTTTCGAACTGCTAGGTTGGCAGGCGCTGGGACCGAACGACGGGAGCGCACCCCGCCGCGGGGATTCGAACCGCCGACCTTTCGATCGGCAAGCCCTAGGCGCTGAGGCTTTTACCCACAGCGCCACCCGCGTCCCCTGTCATCCCATATACTAAATAGCAAACTCAGTACTCCTCTTACGTTTTTACTGCATTTTATGGCCTCTCCAGACAGCTACAGTGGCTGTTATTGCTGCCTTATCAAAATAACTGCAGTTCTATACTGAAGACTTCAGGGAAGCGCCGGGAGAATACCTAGCAGTGCTTTTCTTGCTCAATACCGCTGAGAAAATGCTACCTGGACGAACGTGCTGTTTCATACAAACTTATTTGTTGTTTAAAATGTTCTTGAATGAGCACTGTCACAACAACAGCCAGGGCAGATTTAGCTTCCATGTTCCTATGCATTAAGAATGGATCGAATTGAGCCAGCTTGCTTTCGGCGGTCAGGACAGGCCAACAACGCAATCCTATAAGTGCCTACTCAGAAGTAACTCCCATGGGTTCAATAGGGCTTACTCCCAGGTAAGTGGGTACAGCCGATTGCAGCCAGATTCATGCATGCATGTTCTGGAGGATCGCAACATCAAGTTGCATGTGCATAGCTGGAGTCATTCATATCACACATATTTTGAAGGATGTACATTCATATTTTGAGGTCAATTTAAGGCACTGGTGCTTACTTTTAAAGACCTAAAGGGCAGCAGAGGCTGGTCCATTGGGGCAAATGGGACGCTGCCCCACCAGTCTCAATCTGCCCTCTGCTAGCCCACACCTGCATATCTTCTTTTCTACAGCTAGTGTGTGTAAAAAGTAACTCATTGTACAAAGGAAAATTCACATTCATTGCCTAGTCCGCTTCTGCCTCTTGCCCCACCCATCACCCATCACTCCTGTGAATCTGGGCCCATAACCTGTTGTTGGGATACTGCCAGGGAGTCAGAGGCATCATCAGGCAGGCCTCCATCATCGTCTCCGGACGATCTCCAGGCTCCCATTGGAACAGCATCAGTCAATTAGCGACACAAGCCTCAGACACATTCCAGGACTCATGCACGCCCTTTTCGCAGAGTTTTCACAACAGAAGATTCACCCAGAAGAGCATATTTACAGCTTTATTCAACGTTGGTCAGAACAAAGGAAAAACATGACTGCTTGCGTCCATGTCATGGAAAACAGCAAGAAGCAAAAGCTATATACAAAACGGAAACTCCCTGTGAGCAGGAGGTACGCAGGCTTGTGACACACAACAGCCTGTTCCCTTTTTAAGGAGGAACGGAAATATCCTAACAGTGACCCACCCCTGAAAGTTGCCCAGAAGCAAACGCAGCTCCCCGGAACTGAAAAAGTCACCCCACCCCTGTGCTAGGCAGTACAGAAGTTTAGAAGACGGGGTTGCAATTTTCCCAACAACAAAGCATTTCCAACTGAGCAAAAGCAGAACAATCAACTCTTACTTTTTGGCTCCGCTGCCATCCCCTGAGCAGTGCAGGTTCCTGGAATCCAAAGCTGGGTGCTGGCACTCAACACACACCAGGTGTCCTTCGCTGAGATATTTCATCCAATGAGTGTAAGAGCTGTTCCCACGCAGACATCCTTCTGTGATGGCCATGAGCTGAAATTCGACACAGTACCTGCCAAGGGAAGAGAGGGGAATAGGGTTGCATGCCACTCCAATCTCCAAACTGTGCAAGATTCCAGGGGTTCCAAATGCTCACCCCGGGTCTGTGTAAGGCTTACTTACAAAAATAAATATGTGTATCACGTGTCAGGGGAGGTGCAGTACCTCTGGTGTCATACTATAAATACTTACTGGGCCAAAATCATTTCAACAAAGTCTTCAGGTGGGTTGTTTTACTCAAGACATATTGTTAAAGCTATGGTTTTCCCGGTAATGGGAAGTGAAATGTATGGAAGTGAAAGCTGGTGCATAAAGAAGGCGGATCGCTGAAGAATTGGTGCTTTTGAATTCTGGTGCTGGAGGAGACTCTTGAGAGTCCCATGGACTGCAAGAAGATCAAACGCATCCATTCTGAAGGAAATCAGCCCTGAGTGCTCACTGGAAGGACAGATCGTGAGGCTGAGACTCCAATACTTTGGCTACCTCATGAGAAGATAAGACGCCCTGGAAAAGACCCTGATGCTGGAAAAGATTGAGGGCACAAGGAGAAGGGGACGACAGAGGACGAGATGGTTGGTCAGTGTTCTCAAAGCTACCAACATGGGTTTGACCAAACTGCGGGAGGCAGTGGAAGACAGGAATGCCAGGTGTGCTCTGGTCCATGGGGTCACGAAGAGTCGGACACGACTAAACTACAACAAATGCCTGCTAAAAGTAATGAATAGGACTAAGTTCCAGTGGGTATACTCAAGAGTAAAACTGAGCTAAATACCACCCTTCAACTCTATATCCATTATTTGCAGGAGGCTTTTTGAAATTTATTTGGCCAACCTGTATACAGCCATCTCTCCGCTTACACAGGGATTACATTCCTGGGTACCACTCATAAACGTGAAATCACATATGATGGAAAACACCATCTATAAAGCCTGTAAACGACCAAAACCTCTGCCAAAAATTCACAAAAACCCACCAAACTCCACCACAACCGCTCCCTCCAAACCTCCTTTCTCCAACGCCCAACTCTTCACAGGCCTCAAAGATTGGTGCAAAGGTTCATGGGATTGCTAGCTCCTTTCCTGCCCTGCTCTTTTGGGACCATTTTGCCCTTTTTTGAAATTTTAATCAATTTATTTAAATACTTCCTAGGGCTGCGCATGTTAAGTTGTGGGTGAACATATCAGACGACACAGCGATTCTTCAAACAGCTCTTGTTTATTCACAGGCCAGAACAGAACTGAACTGAACTGAAGGATTCAGCCAGCCTGCTTATATAGAGCTCCAGTACAACGCAACAGTAACCACTTTCTGTAACTATCCAATCACTGAACGTCACTTTCAATCCCTTATTTGCATATGTGGACCTGAGTGAAAACTATCTACAGTATCCCCCTGCTGGCCCAGGGTGAGAACCTCAGTACATAACAGCACATATACGTGGCTGCACATGAGTCCATCGTGCGTATTTTTCACTCCTCCTTTAAGCGGCTGTAGCTCAGAACCAGCTGAATTGTTAACGTTTTTAATAAGGCCGCCGAGGAAGACTTTGTCAAAATGTGTTTGGCCTATTAAGGATTTACAGCGGTGTATTTACAGGGATCATGACAGCACCATATAAATGAAAAGTGCAGGTTAAAGCACTGTTCTGTGTATAAGCAGGAGGCTGGGGGAACATGTGTGCTGGAGGTTGGCTTTGCATCAGGGAAATGGGCCAAAGGCTGTACCAGTATGTCTTCCAGGCCTGTGAATCTAGACTTGTGTCATTTCATTATATGAGCTCCAGGCCATAGTGTGACCCACAGGAGGACAGCAATGCTGTAGAGTCCTCGAGCAGCTCATTACTTACCCGGCTCTTTCATTCTCAATGGACACAGCTCGCTTTCTCCTCGCTTTCCCATAGCCTCCAGTGGTTATTAATGCTGGGACTGCTCACATCAAAGGGAAAAAGGAAAACACAGCAGACATGATAAGTGACAACGGTGCCCCGAGTCCGCCTGCATCTGCAGAACAATAACAACTGGGACATTTGCGGTCTTTAATGCCGTGTCATTTTCCCTCTGGCAGGAAATCAGAGAGAGAGAGTTCTCTCCCACATTCTCAGACCGCTGGTGATTATTCATCATTCCGCTGGGCAGAAATGGGTACCCTCCGCCCACAAAATCCCCCCTTGTTGTCCGTACAAACAGGCCTGCTAATTATCATCCCAGAAACTATGCTGGAGGGAGCAAGCTATTTTAATAATATCCCAATTTAGAAATATACCACTTAAGCTCTTCTCCAGCCTACAGATTTTATTTTGGTCTCAGAAACACTGGTTTTGTTTTGTGTGGTTTTTTTCAAAGCAAACCAAAAAAATAAAAAGTCAGAAGAAAAATAATAACCAGTCTAAACAAGTACACCAGAAAATGGCCAGTTGTTTAGGAAAAGGGTGGGCAAAAGCTAAAGATTGCAGATCTCTGGTTGATTTCCAGTAGCACAGCAAAGATTTTTGACACCCAGTTGTTTTGACAATATCTGCAATAAAATGAGTTGTTCCACCTAAATTAGGCTGCTGGGGAAAAAAGCTCCAACTAGGACCCTGCTTTTGTGAGAAAGGGCTATGGACTCAGTTCAGTTCCTGTGCTGAAGACAATTTCCTAGGCTCAGAATGTGCTCAGAGGCACCCTGTTCTTGAATTCTACCTGTGCGACTTGTTGCACCTGCCTCTGGTTAATAGCTCTTGGGGATCTAGTAAAACAGAAGAATATGACATGAGCCTTTCTGGATCAAGTAAAAGGTCCATTTAGTCCTGCATCCTGTTCTCGCAGTGACCAACCAGATAACTATGGGATGCCTACAAGCTGGATGTGAGAGCACAATAGCACTCCACACACACACACTTTGATTCTCAGCATCTGGTATTCAGAGACACACTGCATCCGACACGGGCTCCAATAAGCCTGTATTCTGCCCACCACTGCTTTAAAATTCTGGATAGTGTTGTTCACACATTGCACTGAACACGGGTGCAGGTGGTCTCTACAAGCGCACAAGTGTAAATGTGTGAAAGTGTTGCACTTGTTCATTCGTACAGCTCAACTATTGTGTGCACAAGCACGCAGACTGCATATTCATTGAATATTAACATGTGTATTACAGTATAAACCACAGAGCCTAGGACTTGCTGATCAGAAGGTTGGCAATTTGAATCCCCGTGATGGGGTGAGCTCCTGTTGTTCGGTCCCAGCTACTGCCCACCTAGCAGTTCAAAAGCACGTCAAAGTTCAAGTAGATAAATAGGTACCGCTCCGGCGGGAAGGTAAACGGCGTTTACTTGTGTTGCTCTGGTTCGCCAGAAGCGGCTTAGTCATGCTGGCCACATGACCCGGAAGCTGTCTGTGGACAAATGCTGGCTCCCTCGGCCTATAGAGCGAGATGAGCGCAGCAACCCCCGAGTCGTCCACAACTGGACCTAATAGTCAGGGGTATCTTTACCTATTACGGTACAAATGTATAGCTCAACTATTTGTGGACAAAGTTTGTATGAATGTAATGTGTGAATGTTACCGTTGTCTCTCACGTGCAGATTTAATTAAATCAATATACCAACAGCACAACCCTAACCCCCTCTACTCAGAAATGAGTCCACCTGAATTCAGTGGGGCTTACTCCCAGGTAACTTGGGTTAGAATCACAGTCTTAAACTCACAGGATTATCAGCTGTGATTTCTCTAAGCAGGTGACAGCCATAATTTGAATGGAGCCCAGCCCCAACATATCCTCTTGTACAAGCACAGTTTTCAGAGAAGTAGCCATGTTAGTCTGTTGCGGCAAAAGCAACACCGAGTCTCGTGGCACCTCAAGGGATATGGGTGGCATTCAACTCTTCTGCTCATGGAAGGCAACCTTCCATGGAACTAGGAGGGAGGCCAAGCCCAAGGGCAACCCCACCTAGAGTGCACTGCGGTAATCCAGCCTCAAGGTTACGTATGCATGGACTACAGTGATCAGACTTCTTTGGCTGCTCTGCAGCAAAGGCACTCAGAAGAACACCTTGACCAATCAATACGCTAGATGTCACTTTGCACCATCCCATTTTACTCTGGATGAACTAGAAGAGGGACATGTGCAACTGCTCTCCAAGCACAAGTGTGCATCTAAAGCTGTTTTGTGTGCTGCAGGGCAGGATCATCTCCTTTTTTGCCACTCTAATTATGAATGTGTCGAGGATTAAGCATGGGACATTATAGACTGCAACACTTTCTTTCTTGCATCTGGGATAGCTCAGTCGGTAGAGCATAAGACTCTTAATCTCAAGGTTGAGCCCCATGTTGGGCCAAAGATTCCTGCACTGCTGGGTGTTGATCCAGATTACCCTTGTGGTCCCTTTCCAACTTCTACAGCTCTGTGATTCTGTGTAGCTACCACACCGACAGAGCAGCGGAAGAAACCCAGCCAAATATGGGATACCCCTGCTAAGCGAGAGCCACTTGACATGAGTCAATAACTTTCTTCAGCTTAGAACAAAACAAAAGCCAGTGTGGTGTAGTGGTTAAGAGCGGTGGACTCGTAATCTGGGGAACCGGGTTCGCGTCTCCGCTCCTCCACATGCAGCTGCTGGGTGACCTTGGGCTAGTCACACTTCTCTGAAGTCTCTCAGCCCCACTCACCTCACAGAGTGTTTGTTGTGGGGGAGGAAGGGAAAGGAGAATGTTAGCCGCTTTGAGACTCCTTCGGGTAGTGATAAAGCGGGATATCAAATCCAAACTCTTCAAAAGTAACCAGAAGAAATGCTCTAACAAGACTTTTTTTGGGGGGGGAGCGGGTACAATGTAATTTTGAATGCATCCAGAAGAAGGCCTTGGAAACCTTTTTTCTGCCAAGAATCTGTTTCCCCCCACTCCACCCATGCCCTGCTCCACTTACTGAAGGGCTGCTTGCACTCTGTTCCTTGCCGAGTCCAATACTCAAAACAGCCAGCCTTGTCCTCGAGAGGAGGGCAGGCTTCGCCGCCATTTCTCGGCTCCCGGATGATGTGCCTCCTCCTCACACGGTACGCTGCCTTGCAAGTCTCCGCACAGCTGCTCCATTCGCTCCACTCAGAGACCACGCAGGAGACCACTGAGGAAAGGAGGACAAAACTCACAATTGTTATCTATTCCATGCATTTCCAGGCTGGCATTCTTCTCAAATAAGCAAGTCTGATCCATTCCTGCCAAGCAGGAGTACCAGCATTTAGATGTCCCAACTTAGCCCACATTAACAATATGAGTTTGAAGCAATCACGATACCCCTTTGAACTGCCAAGTTTTCTACTTACAGGGTCATCTGTCTGTTTACATAGGGAATTACTTTTTTAAAAAAAAATGTGGTTCCCCACCAGCAGGATGAAGTGAGGCAGCTCATTTTACCAGCTCAGCATTCTTCCACTTCATTCCACTGCACTTGGGAGAACCAGCCAGCCTGAGCTTCGTAACCATGCAGGAATATAAAACGATTTGCAAAGCACAGTTTTCAATCCAAGTATATGTGTGGATTCAGACATCTTCCAGCCCTCTCAGTCACCAAAGCAAAGATGACTACGGTGAGAAGAACGGCTCTCCAGTTTCTGGCTTTTGCCGCAAACACCCCACCCCTGTGTCAGCAAGTCACCTCACCTATCTGCAAACTACCACATGTAGAGCTGGCCAAGAGTGACACTTGCAAAGGACAATATTGTGCCATTTCTTCAAAATGCCACAAGATGGCACCAGTTGAGAATACAGTGGTACCTCCGGTTAAGTACTTAATTTGTTCCGGAGTTCCGTTCTTAACCTGAAACTGTTCTTAACCTGAAGCACCACTTTAGCTAATGGGGCCTCCTGCTGCCGCCGCGCCACTGGAGCACAATTTCTGTTCTTATCCTGAAGCAAAGTTCTTAACCTGGAGCACAATTTCTGGGTTAGCGGAGTCTATAACCTGAAGCGTATGTAACCCGAGGTACCACTGTATGGATTGATGAGGCATAAAAGAAAGGGACTTACGCTTCAGTAGTTCTAATAAAGGCTAATTAAGCAACCTGCATTTTGTGGAGAGGGATAATTCTGTTTTGCTTGAATTTTCTTTTACATATGTTCCCTTTTGAAAAAGGACCCCATCTTTTCATTTCCCTAATAGAAAATACCAATGTTTGTCTCCTGTAAGGTTTTACTAAGAGTTATGGGAAGTAAAGATTATTATAGGGATGGGATGGGTTGCATGTGGGGGGGGGGGACTGCACAAGCAGAATTCTGCACTAAGTAAAATATCCAATATGCTGAAAACCTCAGCTTTTGAAAAGTCAAGATTTAGGAAATTCCTATTTGCCAATATTTGGGTTCTGTTGTACTAGGAAACAGGAAGATGATGTTGATATGCTCAGTGTGTGTGTGTTTAAAGTAGTATTAAGAGAACCATTGCAGTTACTCCAGGCCATTACAAATGCCTTGAGTTGTGCCATATGCTGCAAACTCTACGAATAATTGTGCACACAGGGCTTCAGTGTTAGCTCTTTTTGATGCCTTGCAACAGCAGGATAAAACAGCACAATTTGCATAGCGTATGCTTTTGCACAGAATGTTATTGATCTTTTTAATAAAGAAAAGTTCTGAATGCAACTCTCCCTATTTATGACAATACACAGCACTCAGATGTGCTCATCTCTGAAGAGCAGCCTCCAAGAACATTGAGATTCATTGGTATCTGATTTCCAACACAAGAAAGCCGTAAGCCGCTATCGCTTCCCCCAAGTTGCAATCCTAACTTTAAAAGGAAACACTTTTATTCAGGTGTTAGCCCCCTGCTGAACTCCAGAGTACTTATCTCCAAGTAAAACATGTTTAAGCCCACATGGAACAACTGCCTTGCATGCTGCCTTGGGAGTAAATCCTGTGCAAATCAGTGGGATTTAGTTTCTAAATAACATAGGTAGGAATAGATTGTCAATACTGTAATTTTCCACCTGGGCTCAGTAACCTCCATCTCCCTCTGGTGCTCTTAAATTCAGGGATGAAGAACCTCAAGCCCTGCAGAAGTTTTTGAAAGTCCATCAGCCCTAACCCTAACAAGATGAGGCGGACAAGAGTCAGAGCACAACTGCATTTGGAAGGTCACAGGTTTCTCATCCGGACAAAAAGACAAAAAGTATTCACAGAAGTGCTGTAGTCCATTTGAATTGGCTACACCAGAGTCATTTTTCCACCCTTGAGTTTCAATCACAGTTCCCCTTCTGGGTGGCATCCGGCACTCTGAAAAAAGGCACTGCTCTTTCTAAGCAGGTCATAGAATTGTAGGTTGGAAGGGTTCCCCAGGGGTCATCTAGTCCAGCCCCCTTGCAGGTGCTGAATTTGACTTATCACTGGAAGCGGGAGTCTGTGGCCTTCCAGCTCCCATCAGCCCCAGCCACCAAACCCCACGGTGAGAGATGAGGGGAATCCAAGAAAAGAAAACACCCACAGGTCCCCCATCCCTAACCCTACCTGAGCTGGACCATCCATCCTCAGGGATAGCATCCCCCTCCCCTACTCCTCCTGCTCCTTACCCACCTGGGCACACCTGCCGGTAGTCCTGGCAGCAGTCCAAGGTGTAAGGGCACGCCTGGTCGCAGTAGCAGGGCCCGTGGGACCCGTCCGCCCTCCAGCCGGTGCTCACGCACGCCATGCTCCGGCCCGCGCAGCAGCGCCCCAGCGCCGCGCAGCCGCCCTCCGCCTCCGGCGCGGCCAGCAGCAGCAGCAGCCCCGCGCGCAGCGTCCAGCAGGGGCGCGCCCGCATGATCCTGCCCGCGAGGTTCAAGTCGAAAGGGCGACGCCGCTGGACCTGCGCAGCGCCGAGCACCAGCTACTCTCGGCCGAAAACTAGGCGCTCGATCCGGGACTGAGACCGGAGCGGATCCGGTGGAATTCAATAATGGGAATTAATAGGAGGAAGGTGGGCGGGGGCAAGTCCACGCGGACTGCCTAGATGTCGGGTGCGGCGGGGGAGCCCACGCGCAAAGTGCTCCGGTGCGCAAGTTGGGCAGCGCTTGCCTGGAGAAGAGCTGTTGCCGCCGCCGCCGCCCAGCTGAACATCCGCCCTGCGCGTGAAAGTTTCCGAAAGCGGATCTGGAAAGGGAGCAGCCCAGGGCGACCTTTAGCCAGCGCGCCAACCTGCGCTCGCCCCACCCCAAGGCGGCGGGCGCTCCGCTCCCTGTCCGCGCTGACCTTCCCCCCTTCGGCGGGGATTAGAAGGCGCTCAGGCGGCGTTTAAAGGAGCAGGACGCTCTGCGGAGCTGGCGACGCTTAGCGCGGAGCGGAGAGGCAGCCAGCGCGATGACGACCCCCCCCCCCGCTTGTTTAGCAGGGGGGCCAACTTGAATAAAATATTGGGGGGGGATAGGTAAGCCCCGCCCTGCATAATCGATCACGAGAGGCTGCGCACGCACACCATTTCGATGGCAATGCCCATCAATTGAGGGGGAGGGCTGGCCCCCTCAAATATTTTATTGGCTCCTGTGCTCAGAAGCAAGGGAGCCCCCCTTACAGTGTGGGAGAAACTGCTTGCTCGCCCTACCTGGGCACCAGGATCTGGGTTGCTTTCAGTCAATGGGCATTTGGTGGTGTAGTTCACGGGTTAAAATTAATGAGCTGTGAGCTGGAATTACTTTTTTGGGGGGGTCCAAATTTCATTCCTCCATGAATAGCCATAGGTGAACCAGCATTAATACTATTTGCCAGCTACAATGCGTGTGGGAATGCTGCTGCTTGCCTACCTACCTTACAAGATCGTTGTGTGTATTTCTGGGATCGTTTGTCTGAAGCCTTTTGAGCACTTTAGGGAAAGCATAGCATAGCTGCTGAGGCTGCAATCTTGCGGTACATGCAGATGGAAGTAACTGTCCTACAGTCCTGAGAAAACACACACAGGACTGGGCTGCATATATTACTGTATCTCTTCCCTTCCTTCTGCATAGTTTTTTATGTCCACACAGATGACAGCACACCAGGCTCGTGGAAACTAGTTGAACCAGAACAAATGTCAGCCGGGTTTTCTGCGGATTGACATTCGCCCTGATTCAGCAGTAAACAGCAGGGGGGTTTTCCGGGGACAGTGGTGGGACAAAAGAAAATTCTCTTAGTCGTGTACCTAGAAATCATGTGACAAACAGAAGTGTGGATGAGCCCTAAAACTTCCAAACGTTAGTAAAGCAGAGGCAGTAGCAGTACCTAATTTTTATTTACTTAATTTGATGGTGCCTCACAGGTCCTAACCAAGACCAGGGCTGTGCACACAGACCAGTGCAAGTGAATAAATAGGTACCGCTGCGGCGGGAAGGTAAACGGCGTTTCCATGCGCTCTGGTTTCTGTCACAGGGTTCCATTGCGCCAGAAGCAGTTCAGTCATGCCGGCCACATGACCTGGAAAGCTGTCTGTGGGCAAACGCCGACTCCCTCAGCCTGAAAGGTGAGATGAGTGCCGCAACCACATAATCACCTTTGACTGGACTTAACCATCCAGGGGTCCTTTCCTATTTACCTTTTACATATACATGATGTTAGCCACAATTCATCTCATCTTCTATTGTTTATTTCATGTAAGAGCTATTTCATGTGGTGTATGTGCTTTTCCCCAAATGGAGAAAAAGAGTGACTTAGCTGCCTTTTAAGCTGGCATTGTGTTCACTGCCTATGTTAGAATTCTCAGTCTTCCGGGGAACACAGTGCCAGCTCTGTTTGCCAAGAGGGAATAAGAACAAGCATACAGCAGTGGCCTTGACTCAAGGAAACGGTGCCTGTTTGCCGAGACCACACCAAGCACACACGGGGTACTTTATCTGCTCCTTCGGCATACAATCTTCACTGCCAGCCGCTTGGGAGTTTCCTTTTCTGCCTTAATTAAGCAAGCTGTACAGCGGTGGAACTGCCAGTGACCCAGTTCCCAGAGGCTCTCCCTCTGTCCTCTTTTGTTAAACGGGTGGGCAGGAAGATCCTGGCAGCTGGGGATTGATGGACACAAAGGAGCACTTATTCTCACTTTCCACTGCCGGCTGGAATCTGGGGTTGTTAATTGTCCCTGCTGGCCAGCAACATCAGGCTTTGTCTCTCTGCACTACAGGCCAAGCCCTCCTGCTCACAGAAGTAGAGGCATCCTTATATAACACATTTAGAACTGGGCAACGTTTGCCCCTGCCAGCGGGCACACTGGAAACATCACCAGGAAAAACAAACAAACAAACCCTGCAATCAATCTTCATATTTAATCGCATGCAATAAAAACTTCAATGATAATAATGTTTCACACATCTCTCTGCCTTCTCTTTTCTGATAACTTTCCTAGAATGGGCAGGGAAGCTATCACCAACAAGCTAAGTTGCTGGGGAAGCTAATAGTCTGAGTTTGGGGGAAGCAGCAAGAAAACCTTCACCCCAGAGACAGACAGCTTTCCCCTGATTTAAGGGAGCTATCGCTGTCTTTGTGACATCATCAACCATTTCACCAATCCCCATTCTCTAAAATCTATGTTTGAAATTAACATCTTGGGCTAGACTCTTAGGCACACTTATGTCAGATGTTAACCCCCCTGTGTCCAGTTGGAGCTGACTCCTGTGTTTAGGATTGCAGCCTCAATAAATGTGTCTGAGTTTGTTCATATGCATGCTGCTCACATCACACTGTCTTTTTTTCTCTTTCCCTCTCCTACATCTCTGTTATCATCCCTACTGTTTTTAAAATGTGCACACCATAAGTCAGGAACCTAACTCTTTTTTGCTTATGTTATGCTGTAGAATAGAGCACCATGTACCTCGATGGCAAAATGAATGAATGTTTTGAACATCAAACTTTGTTCCATTTACATTCATGCCATGCAACACACCCAACACACATGTAAAGCACATTATCCCCCCCTCCAAGAATCCTGGGAAGTGTAGTTTCCCCTGCACAGAGCTACAATTCCCAACACCATTAACATGCTACAGTTCCCGGACTCTGGGAGAGGCCATGTGCTTTAAATTTGTGTTGGGAGTGCTTTAAATCTGTGGTGTAATCTACCTGCAAAACATTTCTCTTCTTATCCAGCAACTTTTGATTCTGCTTATAGCACCTGCCCTTCAGAGCTGGTTGACATATTCTTTGGATGCAGAGAGAGAGAGAAATAACCTCAGTTATTATTAGGGGGAGGGGTGGGACGACGATGACATAAAGTCTGGAGAACAAACACTCAGTTTTATGGCTGCGCAAAGTAATCTTGCTCTTTTGTTCCAGGTGGCAGGGAAATAGGAGCCAAAGGAGATGAAACAGGCCTGCCTTGTACTCCATTAAGCATCCTTTTCACTCAGCTAATTATGTGTTCACTTCAGTGACCCAACAGAAAGGCAGATTACCGAAGGAGCTCCCTCTGGCTAACTGCATATTGCCATGCTCTTTCTCTCAAATTCCCTGAAGGCTTCGTCCTTTTTCCTCGAGGGAGAAGAGGGGGAAATCCCCCGAGATGCAGAAATAAAAATTGGTGGCTGTGCTCATCTATTAGCATAAAAGTTCAGGTTCATGCCTCTCTGGGACAAATTTTGAAGGACCTCTGTGGTTTCCCCCATCACTACCCATAACACACTGCCCAGGCCTGTCTTCCAGGGAGGTCACTTTGGTGCTGCTAATGCATCAGTTTGACTTCACCCCCGGAGGCACACTCCATTGTCTCTTGAGAGGGACGCCAACATCAACCACCCAACCCCAATGGGAGATAGCTTCTGCATTCCCCCAAAAGAGGAAATGCCTCTCTCACACACACATTTGCATGAGCAAATATATGCACATAGATGCACATTTAGAAATAATTGCCACAATTCAAATAGAAATACAGCTCCTCTCACCATAACCAGAAGCTTGAAAGACCTACATTGGCTCCCAGTACATTTGTGTTGGTGCTGACCTTTAAAGCCCTAAATGGCCTCGGTCCAGTATACCTGAAGGAGTGTCTCCACCCCCATCGTTCAGCCCGGACACTGAGGTCCAGCACCGAGGGCCTTCTGGCGGTTCCCTCCCTGCGAGAAGTGAGGTTACAGGGAACAAGGCAGAGGGCCTTCTTGGTAGTGGCACTCGCCCTGTGGAACGCCCTCCCACCAGATGTCAAAGAGAAAAACAACTCCCAGACTTTTAGAAGACATCTGAAGGCAACCCTCTTTAGGGAAGTTTTTAATGACTGATGTTTCAATGTATTTTTAACCTTTTGTTGGAAGCCACCCAGAGTGGCTGGGGAAAACCCAGCCAGATGGGAGGAGTAGAAATATGTTGTTGTTGTTGTTGTTGTTGTTGTTGTTTGTAGCAAGGTGACTTGTTTGCCTGCTGAGTTGCTAACTATGGATGGACTCTGCCCTCCTTTCTGATGCTGGGAAAGAGCCTTGCATGAGAAAGGTCCCAGGTTCAGTCTCCAGGTAGACTTGGGAGAGACTCTTGGTCGGAAACCCCGAAGAAGCTACTGCAAACCCACTGTAGACAATGCTGAGCTAGATGGGCTAATAGCCTGACTCACTATAAGGCAGCTTCCTATGTTCTTGATTTTCAAACTCGGCCCTGGAGCAACAGGCCTTCAAGCAGAGGAGTGTCTTCTGCAAATTGGATGTTTAATAACTGAGGAGCTCAAGAGGCCAAATGTCTGCTGGAGAAAGGGAGGTCTTTACAGGGTGATAGCCAGGCACCAAAGAGGGAATGAGGTGAGTCTTCCTAAGGCAAGGGTAGGACAATACTGTATTGGACTACCAGAGGGTCCAACCCGGCCCATTTTACCAAAACCACACCTTCCTGCCAATCAACTGAAGTCACTCCAATGAGCAGGTGATACCGACTGATGGGCAAAGTTCCATACTCTCTTGGTTGTGTCCCCCGGTTCCCTGCTAAGAACTGACACACAAAGGCAAAGCAGCCAGATTTAAACCCCTGCTCATCAACAGAGTTCAATCCTGCTTGGTGCAGTTTCGCTGGTTACTATCTTCTGCCACTTGTGCGGCTCAATTTTAACAGGTGGGTGGGGAGAAAGATCTGGCCTGGAAGGCCAAATTGGTTGTTCACCGCCATCCTCAAGGCAATAATTTCCAAAGCTTAGGTGTGGCTGCAGAAAAGACTGCTCCTACATCACCAACCAAACACAACTCATGTGGGGCTCCCTGGACTAACTCCTATCCCTTCCCAAACTACAGACAATGAAGAAGAGACTAAAATTTCCATCTTCCCTGACCATTGGCCCTGCTGGCTGGGCTGATGGGAGTTGCAACCCAACATCTGGAGGGCCACAAGTCCCCCCTCCCCAGTTCTGCTTTTGGAGATGTTGACCCACCCACCATTCCTATCTCAA